CCTCGAACACATTCCCACTCGATTTAGGGACAGATATATCATTAAAAAGAAATTCATATTTTAGCCTAATTTTATGGAAAAAAATGGAAGGCTAACCCCTTGCAATTTTTGTCAATTTTCGTCAAAAAATGAAATTGCTCCAAACTTCCTGGAAGGACTCCTAAGGGACCCTGGAACGCATTACGACTCAATTTAGGGACAGATATATTATTAAAAAGAAATTCATATTTTAGCCAATTTTTATGAAAAATGCAAGGCTAACCTCCTGCAATTTTTGTCAATTTTCTTCCAAAAATGAAAATGCTCCAAACTTTCTGGAAAGACTCGTAAAAGACCCTGGAACACATTTCAATTCGATTTAGGGACAGATATATCATTAAAAACAAATTCATATTTTGGCCAATTTTTAGGAAAATCCCTGCCCCCCACCCCCCCCCCCCTCTTTAACTGATAAATCGAGAATTTGTTAAGAAATACAAGAATTTCCCCCCCCCCCCCGTTAGAAAAAGTCCTGGCGACGCCCATGGAGCTTGGGGACCCCAGATCCGCGCCTGTACCTCCTTGTTGGTATTGCGCAACACATGATCGAGTAGTGTGCAATGACACTCGGCCTCCGAAAATCAAAGGTGGTAAAAGGGGGGGGGGGGGGGGGGGGGGGGGATCGCAATATACTTTCAATGGGGGCGCTGTTCAAATCCGATGATTATTAACACTAGGCCTATATCACAGAATGTGCATACACCCCTAACAAAGCTGCCGATGTCCGTATTTTTGTGCAAAGCGGACATTATTACCAGCAAACAGTTTTTCCGTGTCAGAGCAGTGGTGGGATCGCAATTTTTGCATGGATTTCAATATTTTTTTTTTTTTTTGATAGAGCTGGGGTGGGGTTGACCCCAAACACCCCCCCCCCCCCGGATCCGTGCCTGCACCTCCTCGATCGTTTTGCGCAACACAATGATCGAGTTAGTGCAATGACATCGGAGGTGACCCTGCATTTCTTTAGAAGCTTTCGGCCGCAGCACGCACCTTCCGCCGCCGTCTCCTGCAGTGCTGTTTCGGCTCTGAAACGGAGTATTTTTTTCGTGAGGCGTTAAATCTTACCCTTTCGAACAAAGCTGATTTAATTCCCCCCATAAAATAATTTCTCGTGCTTTGTCGACATGATATGAACGTTTAGTTTAATTCCATTGAATAATCAACAGGGTTAATTAAGAATAAACAAAAGGACATATTTTTGACATGTCGTACCAGAGTGAAAAAGTAAGGATGTTCATCGGACATTTTGAGATTTTTATATTTATTTGCAAAGTTGGTGTGTACGTGTTTTTTGGGTGTGGAATTCTGAGAGATAGATTTTCAAATTGAGTTGATAATTTTCAAGCATTAAATTACTTTAATGAGCTTTCCTCCCCCCGCCAAAATACCTGGAGCCGCCCCTGCACGCCTGATGTTGCATCTGTTGCAGGGTGGCAAATTGCAACAGATTTTAAGAGCGAGCTAGGCGGGGACGCTGAATGATAGCAGCAAAATCAGGGCGGCGACATCGGCCTGTCGGAAAAAAAGCGTGCACGTCAGACCGCAGGGATGAAGAGCGCCGCCTTCTGTCCGAGAGTGTCCATGGGTGTCCGCTTTTGACAGTGCCCCTATAGGGCCTGCAATAACTGCCATAGACCCCAATGATAAATGCCCCCACTTCAGAAAGTTAGGAAAAATACTCACAATTTACTTTGCAAGGTGTTCGAGACATACATCAAAAGTAAAGCTTATTTTATCACCTTCCATTTTCTTTTCAATTTTTGGGGGTATTCTGATGACATTTGGGAGAAACTTCCATCCGAATATGATCACCCCTTTAAAAAGTCCTGAAGTCCATAGCCATTTTGAAAAAACGGTGCCTACACTCCGTGGCAAAATAGAGCACGTTTAGGACCCCAATTTCAAAGAGTAGAAGTCAGGCGCGGAACCCCCGAGAGAGGTTGAACCCCCCCCCCCCCGCGCCATGTTCTGACGCACACAAAAAATGTACATCTATCACAATTATAATAATAATAATAAGATCCACCTGTCCACAACAATCGAATATAAAAATACATCTTTAACGGGCCTGAACCCTCCCCCCCCCCCCCGCCAAAATTCTTGGATCCGCCCCTGCACGCCTGATGTCTTTTTCAAAAAAACCTGCATAATAATAGTTTCCATTGTTGCGTAACGAGAAGTACGTTTAGCACACGAAGGCCTACGACTAACGAGGCTTCCGTATACAATTTTCCAAAGAAATGAAAACAGTGGGCTCATTATTGCCCGAAATGTCAACTTCTTTTCGTCCATGGAGCCCAAACAGAATGGACCCACCAATGTGCCACGTTTTTCTGCCTGATTTTTAAGAACAACTCTAAGAAAGCCGAATGACCTAGTGGTTAAATTCGCCGTCCACGCATCGCGCAGAGCACGGGTTCGAATCCCGTCTGTGTCGTTTTTGGTTTTAATCGCACTCGTTCAGTCATTATATAAGATGTTTAATTTCCCGTCGTAAATTACCAACAGTACCTTAGCTTAACCGGTAAGCACTGCTGCTGGTACTGTCCGCGAGTTCCAGGTTGGCGCCTTCGTACAGGTTCAGGGCATGTGGTCCACTCTGAGGATCAGGGCTTAGGGGCCGCCCTGTTCCTCCCTTAGCTCTTTGCTTTTACATGGTGCCTGGCCCTCCGGGGTTATATGGATGGACAGGGAAGGAAGTGTGTATTGGTCGGGGATGCCGAGACCCCGGAAGAGAACTAAGGGATTGGCTGGGGCATTGTTATGGCTCAGACCGATCCCTGAAAGCTTGACTAGCACATAACTTTTTGATTTTTTTATCCTCTATCTTTCATAATTTGGTTTAGTTTGATATTTGCATCTGCTCGGCAGATGTACGGTAGTTTTGAAAACGAAGCAGAGGTCTATGTCATGAATCAATGAATCATAATTGACTATAATTAAAACGGAGTTTCGTTCGATCAATATGACTACCATTATTAATGGCGCTATTTCCAATTGGACGTAAAAACGCCATATTATACCGGGGAAAAATAAAGATGTACATTGTAATTTTAACATCATTTACATCTTTCAAATAACGTTTCTTTAATTGTGAACATTCCCAACAAATATAGTAATTCGCAAAATGGGGGAAAAACGCAAGATAACAAAGTCCATCACCCTTAAATCTGGAAATTCAAATTGAAAAACAAAGTCAAGTGGAATACAAGAATGTACATTAAGGGTTGAATTGGAAAAAAAATCCATTGATGGGGCTTTTTACGGACTTCCTTTTTTACAGTCAGTAACATGCAGGAGCGGATCCTGAGCAACTTTTTTTGGGGGGGGGGTTGAACCCCTCCCCTGCTCTGACACAAAAAGTAAACCTATTCTACAGCGGTTATTAACACTAGACCTATATCACAGTATATGCATATACCCCTTAACAAAGCTGCCGATGTCCGTATTTTTGTGCAAAGTGGACATTATTACCAGTATTTGCCAGTAAACAGTTTAAGCGTGTCAGAAAGGGAGGGGGGGGGGGGGGTGTTTCGCATTTTATTTCACGGAATTCAATGTTTTTTTGGGGGACAGAACTGGGCATGGGCATCGCGAGGGTGCAAGGAGGGGGGTAGCCTTGGTCAATGCACTCGTCGTTATTCGTCCCGTACGCGGTCAATCGTCGGCATATATCCTCACGCGCTATGCACATGCATGTAAAAATACAGCGCGAACGGCGACCTCATGCGGCACTATTTTTTTATGCAAATCAGTTGAGGACGATCTCGAGCCTTGGTTCAATCGTCCATGTGAGCTTTTGGGGGTGGTGCTCATTATGTTAATAGCCTCAGCTGACCTTAAATGTCGTTTTCTTATTGGTCGATCGTTGCCTGGAAACTTGCATAGTGAAACGTGGCACCGTACATAATCCATACACGTACACGTTGTGTGTCTCTGCACACGGCACCAATGCACAAAAACTGTGGCTCCTGTCACGTCCGCAAAAGGCGAATCCGGTTCGTTAGTGTGACGTCACCTCCAGCACTTTCTGCACGATTGGAACCGGAAGTTAACGCAGCCCGAGCGTTTGCAGCCAATGGGCGCTAGTAATCAGGGGTGTGCGCGCGTGTATGACGTTTTTACTAACGGAGCTGCAAATAATTTGATGACGTCCGGATTTACCAAGGTCTGATTGGACACTCCACATATTAGCCCCGCCTACACTTATCTGTATTCGCATACGAGGTCGTGCGTTAGAAATCCAGCGCAAAATAAAGAAAAACATAAGCTTTTGCCAACGATTGAACCAAGGCTCGATATCGTCCTCAACTGATTTGCATAAACAAATAGCGGCCGCATGAGGTCGCTGTTCGCGCTGTATTTTTACATGCATGTGCATAGCGCTTGAGGATATATGCTGACGATTGACCGCGTACGGGACGAATAACGACGAGAGCATTGACCAAGGCTAGGAGGGGGGGGGGCCTGTTCCCCCCCCCCCCCCCCCCGCCCCCAGAAAAGCAAAATAAATAAAAAAGAGAAAAAGAGGCGCGAAGTCATAGTGGTGTAAACTTAATGAGGGGGGGGGGGGGGGGGGGTTGCAAAATGTCCCTGCCATACTCTTTAACTGATAAATCGAGAATTTGTTGAGAAATACAAGAATTTTGGGGGAAATTTTTTTGGCCCCCCTCTAGAAAAAGTCCTGGCGACGCCCATAGAGGTGGGGGCCCCCTCCCCCAGATCCGCGCCTGCACCTCTTCTTATCAAAGATTACAAACATCAATGAATCTGAAAATCGTTGGGAAAAAATATCCCATTCCCATTTTTTTGCATTTTTCTCCACTACAGCCTATGCCCAGTTCCGTCTCATTTTGCCAGAACGCCTCACATGTTACATGCCGACAACATGGGACCATTGAAAATTGTCGTATCTGTAAAAATTCAGAAAGAATGAATGGCACAGCTTTCACAACTTGATGCAATTCAAAAAATTAATTCATGTATTTATTCACACTAAAACTAATAAACTCCATTTTGTTGAAAGTTCGCCTATGAATTTCACACAATGAAACTAACTTTAGCAACTTCAATTTGGTGGCTTTCTGTTGAAGAACGTTATCCATATCTGGCAAAGTTCAAAATCTTTGTTTAATCTGTTGATATTGTGGACATGCACACTTTAAGTTCAATCACTCTGTGGGATTAATCTAAAAACTCTCTTTAGAAAACTAACTCAAATTTGAATCAATGAAATAACGCTATACTCACAGGGTTTGTCCTGATAAATACCTGATGTTTTTCTTGTTTGAAATTGGACTTTTTGAAGGGGACAAAAATATTTCTAGTATTTAGAAAACTGAAAACTGGTGTTCATTTAAAAGAATACATCACACACCAGAAAGTAAGTCTTGTGTTCACTTTAAGTTACAAAGTTTCCAATGTGTTGTGTGTGGATTATAGCTTTGTTTAAACAATCAACTTCGAAAGGTAACAGCGATCATGTGACAATCATGTGACTGTCGTAGGCTACCAGCCAAACTATGTGATGTATATTGCTATGACTGGTTCCCCGCTAAATATGCTTAGCACATCAAAATTCCCGTAACCTTTTGCTGCTTACCACCTCCATGAAAACTGGCCCAAGCATTCCCAGGCTGTTCCAATGGAGACCAGCACGGTTCCCTTTTAAATAAAACTGAAAGTTTTGGAACGGTCTCAATTAAGACTGATCTTTCAGATGTAACAAGCGTGTTATGGCAATCATCATCACTGCAACCACTTCCTAAATCAATATTTATTTGCCAACCCGTGAGCCCAAAGGACCCCATGAACCCTGTGAGGTGGGCGTGTCGGTACCCCCTGAGCCTAGCCTCTACTCCCAGACTGGGTAGTGGGGCCACCACGGGTACTTCTTCTTCCGCTCTTCCATCTGTGGGAAGTACTCCTCCTGTTCCTCCACGGTCATCTCCTCGAAGGGGATCATGGTCTTGAATTTGAGGATCTGCAAGAGACGCAGCAAGGGAGAAGTGAGTTTGTGGAGACCGTGTTGTTATGTGATGTCATGCCAACAGACAAGTGACAGGCAAAAGAAACACAGGAGCAGATTTTCCCAATAATTTTTCCAAGCTAGCAGGCCGGACCAGTAACTCAGACTTTCTCCACCAGCATTTTGACCGATCAGAACGTCTTTCATGCTCTATTTCTTGTTTTACAACCTTAGTTCTGTTAAATGTATTTCAGTCAGTACAACATTATAGGAAATTTTGCCTTGAGGGGCAACTGCAATTAGTGCCTTAACTGTTGTCTAAAATCAAGGCCACCAAACCATTTCCCCCCCCCCCCCTCCCCGATTTTCAAAGGGATTCAGGGCAATGGCAAAACAAGTGATAGCCAACTACGGACATGGAAGGAATGTCATTACACAATGTACGTCTAAGCAACAGAATATATGTTAGGCATCATACATGTACCTCTTTTTCATACTGTCCGATGCGTTGCTCAGACCCCTTCTTGAAATCAGCTGACATGGTGTCCTATTGAAGCAACAAGAACAAATGTGTTATGAAGCTACATATACAGTTGTGTTCTGAGGAAAATAATTTTTTTTGTTGTTAAAAAATTACCACGAGACGATACAGTGTTTCTTTACCCTCGGCAGGATTTTTGTTCGGTGTGATTTGGCGTATTTTTTTTAAAGTTACGGCAAAGCTTGTAAAGACTGTCAAAATCTGTTTAGGCCACTTTCTTCACCTTCTTGGTACATGTATGTGAATGCCTTTCATTAGACACCAAGTGGCCCAACTTGGAATTTAAGTCATTTTCATTTAGCTGTATCTCTGGACTGGGGTGTCCAAATGAAATAGGATAAAGACCACTGTGTAGAGTATTTACTACACTTTCAGACACTGTAGATAAGTTTTGCAAAAAGAAAGTGCTAGTATTTTTGATATTTATGGATCGACTGCTATATTTTTTTTGAGACAACCTGTACATGCAGTTTAAGTCCTATTTATCCCAGGTTTCCTGATAAGAACTTGGAGTGATGTTCCCCTCAGATCCCAACTACAGATCCTGTAGTACAAGGAACCTTCGAGAGAGGTCACCAAGTGGCATCTTACCATTTCTTTGGACTGCTGCTCGATCTTGGCAGAGGCTGTATCCAGAGGGTAGGGTACTTTCACCTCATCAAACTGCACAACAACAAAAATAACAAATTGTTTTTAAAGATCTGTTACGTAGACAGCAAGAAATGCTGATGGAGTTAACAATGAGTGAAACTGTTGAAAGCTGGCAAACACTTGCCTTGACATTCAACATTCATGATGGTGATAATTTCTGCAGGAAGCATGAACCAGCTTCAAGGAAAGAAGTTGGAAGTGATGCCCAATACAGTTATAGCTATAGTCCATCATTTGCAGCTATCCAAAAAGTAACTGACGTAATTACTGTTGAAAAACATACGTGGTTGAAAGATAGTAAGGGGACTAAACTCCCTGTGAAATTATTCTCTCTGGCAAGCTGTCATTTTGAAGAAAACAACGAAAGAAGGCCTTTCCAACGATCCGTCTTAAGACGCACCTTTGAAAATGTCCGTTAGTAGTTTTTTTATTCGGCGAAGCGCGCGCAAGGGTTGGCATGATGCACACGCGCGTGCGGCTGCTATAATTCGTCGGATCGGTGCGCGACATCGCGTAGCTACATCGGCTCAGTGAGAACGTGTCTCGGACGCTGAATTCAGGCCCAATTCAAACATGATTCAGCAACTTTTGATTTGAAATCGAGATCCTAGAATGCTGTTTATCTAAAAAAAAACACAGCTGAAGCTGAGCTGAAACTTCATCAGGTTAGTTGTTCAGCACCCTTCTTTAGATTTTTAACACTTTTGTTGCTTCAATCGAACAAAATGCACAAATTACAAATGATGGACTATACCTTTAAACAAAATTGCATCTGGGAGGGTGGCCAGAATTTACCTGCTTTTGAAACTTGTCCACAAGGCCGGCAACGGGGACGGCTTTCTTGTAGTGCGCCCAGTCAATCGCTTTTGGCTGCTCAGGCATTGACATTAGCCTAAGGAACAGAAAAAAATAAGACAGCAGATAAATCAAGTGATCAACAAGCACGTATGAATTCTGTTTCTACATAATTTCCATTATTTGCAAATGTGTACAGTGTACTTCCTTAAGTTTCTGTTTTACTCTGTCTCCTAATTTTCTCTAGTACAGACTGATATCACTCCTTAACTGAGACTCAGCATGGACATGGTGACAATGTGAACACCTATGCCTAGGCTATTGAGACTCTTGCATTGGAATCGGTAGGCCCAACTTGTTACGAGGAAATCATGTACATGTATGTATGTGGGCGCAGACATCCAGGAATTTTTTACAGTGGCTTATATCATCTCAATGAAGATAAGACATGAATCTGAGACTGAGAAACTTTCCAATTTTGTTAGGAAATTTTCTTGACTCTCCATAGACTTTGTACACAACCGCTGAAGTGGCATCACGTTGCAACATTTTTATCCCACACGCTTTTTTTTTCATTATTTTTTATATTGTATTTTTTTAAAAGGAAATTTTATGATTTTGGTTTTTTAAAAGGAAATTTTATTGCACCTGCATGTGAGTATAAGTAATGTAACTTCCGTGATTGTCGACATGGTCCAAAAAATGTTTACATGTAAGTATTTCCTAACAAAATTGGAAATGTTTCTCAGTCTCAGATTCATGTCTTATCATCATTTTCGCAATGACTGACCTTTATTAGATGATATATGAAGAAAAAACACTTGGTGTCAGGTTGCTACATTTTTTTCACCCAAATTGTGCCATTTCCTATCAATACAGTCACCCTGATGCATTAACATGGCGCAATGTCGTAGATTTTGGGTCAACTCGTACCATAATTAACTCGTGTCTCTGGGCAGGGTTTTGATTTTTTTGAGGGAAATTTGGGGGTAAAATGACGATGATAGTGCAGCGACAACACACGACCCGAAAATAAAGATGGCGATCACCGTACCGCATGATGTACCATACCGTGAGCACGCACGGCGCGCTGAATCGCAAGGCACAAACTGCACAGGAAAACCGTGATTTCTACACCAAGAATCTGTTAAAAATTGCAAAAAGGGTGTCATTAGAATTGAGAAAAGTCTGCTTTTGATTGTAAAGGTGTTTTTTGAGCAATAAAAAACATTTTGACTCTAGTTTGATCACAACAAAACAGGGGCCCTACACTTCTTCACGATCGCCAATATTGGGAGTTTGACTTTGAGGAAACTGTGTACATGTATAGTCGTGTTCCCTAACGTGGCGCACTTCGAGGCTTACCCAACTTTCCTCGTGTAGTGTTGCCAAACCCTTTTGTTGATAAACCTCAAATTCATGCAGTGAAATACTGGTACCTTTACCTTTTTAGAGCTTGCTATTTAACCTCTGTGAACAATTTCGGTTTCACAAAATTTAATCCGAAATGCAAAAACGGTCGCGTCCGGAAATTTGGCACAAATTGGCGGAGTGTTCCCTAACGTGGCGCACTTGAATAAATCTCGGAAAACTCCAAATAAACATTTAAGAATTTCTGTGAACTTGATAAATTCTGATAACTTACAAACCCAGCAAGATGTTTGTCAGAAAATTATTTACTTATTTTTCGGGGCATTTTCAAAGGGTTCACTTTGCACTTGAAAATAAAATCGGAAAATCACGCCAAAATATTTTTTTCTTTTAACTTTCTACCGGGTAAATAAACTCGCGATTTATGAACGGGAGTGTTTAGAACTTGATGAAATTTCACTTTCTGAGAAATTTCAGTTAAAAGTTTTGCTCTAGCTAGGCGCTACAGGCATGGCGAAAAATCAAAGTGCGCCACGTTAGGGGCCGCGCCACGTTAGGGTAGGCCTACATCAACAATAATAGGAGAGTTGACTTGAGTACGGGTCAACTACGACTTGACCCATTTCCATGTCGTGTAGGCCTGTACTGGGAAATCGGTCAACTCGTTCCCGAGTTAACTCGTACCCGAATGAACTCGTACCTAGAGTCAACTCGCTCCCGAGTCAACTCGTACCCGAGTCACTGCACTTTGTAGGCGCAGCCGACGCCGGCAAAAAAAGTTTGAACATTTACCTTGATGTTAAAGCATCAGCCTTGGATTTCAAAGCATTGAACTGTGATTTTTGATTCGGTGGTACTCTCTCCGCAAATGCAGCCCAATCAATGGCCTTTTGACCAACTCTCCGCGCTGCCATTTCGAGATTTCTTACACAATCTCGGTGTCTCAAAATCTACCCGGCCGGCGAACAAAATGGCGGATGCCGATGACCCTTTCTTGGTATCAACGCTTGATGGCGCTATAAAGCTACACCGGTGTGGGCGGGGTGCTCATTTTCAAATCCGCCGCCAAACAAAACACGATTCTTGCAATTAAAATAATGCCATGTTCATTCAAATTGGAACAAGTGAACTATACTTAAAATGGCATTCAACACTAATTTAGTTTGGAAGGCTGATGACAAAATGTGATGGTTACCTCCTCATTTCTCAGTAATCTTACCCCCCCCCCCAAGTCTGATTATTATCACGGAGACTACCAGCAATTCTTAGCAGTTAAAAATGCTGAAATTGTTGGACAGTTACTTCAAATCAACGGTCTGTATGATTAAATGTGTGATTAAAGGCAAGTTGCTATTCATATAATTTATAGATTTGAATTTGACCTCCGACACAACACAATGTAGGCCTACATGTACACACAGCGTATCAACATGCATGAAAATAGCAGCTTGCCACACAGCGTATGAACATGCATGAAAATAGCAATTTGCCCGTTTTTCCCCCGACAGAGTTTTCAAAAATGACACAATACACACTTCATTTTTACAATCTGTCAGCTCTCACTTCTTTATAAATATCTTACAGAGATACAAATATTGCATTTACAAATTCAATGCGCATTTCCCGCAGGTACTTCTTTTTACGTTTTTGTATTACATTATGTCTGACATAATTTCAAGATTTTGATGTACAAAATGTACAATAGCAATTGTAGTTTAGTATAAAGACAGCTGATAGAGTACCGTAAACGGCCAAGTTTCTTAGATACCAAAAAAACAGGGACAAAAAAAAAAAAAAATTACAACACAACACTCAGAAGCTTAGAAACAATGAACAGATCAAAATATAAACTTAAAGCATATTTCTGATTCTAAGGAAAAGAAATGCATTAATATTCTAGCATAACAGACAACATACATTAAATGGACTTAAGGTTGCAATAAATATTTAGGTGATGAAAAAATCACAGCCCAATCTTGAAATTGATCAATGTTAAAAGTAAATGTATAACAAACTGGTACATATATAGAAACAATACTCTATATTCAGAAAGTTTAACTCGTCAATCAAGAAAATATCAGTGCTTTGCCCCAGTATTATCTGTATGTACCCCATGTTTGGCTTAAAGGGAATATACATCATTGGCTTTTGCTGTATTTTTCAGAAATGAACTATTTGAGGGGTTTGTATAATAGATCAAATATTGTTACACTGACATGTTTGAAGTTTTGTGTTAAAAAATGCTGGAAAAACCAAGAAAAACAAAACTGTTCAAGTAGTCTGGTTCCCTGACTCCACTAAATATAAAATGGATCAATTTACAGATGCCGGAAAATTGTAAGGTAAGGGTACCAGTCTAGCTGGCCTGCACCCGTTCATGAACATGTAACCAATAGCAAACAAACTTTTGACTAAATTAATGGTAAATTTGGAGCAGTAGTTGAAAAATAGTTAGGTTTTTCCAACGGTGGTCGGCCGACCACCGCTGGAAATTTGTACAAAAATACCATTTTCTTGAAAATGACTTCACACCAGGTGCCATAATTTTACAGGATGCTTTAGACTGTCATTAGCCAACATCCTATTAAGGTACATGTATTTTGTAAAAACTTAGTAGTTTTATTTTTCGATGTTTGCAAATGTTGTATATTCCCTTTAAGATATTCCAAAATGGAGGGTCACACACTTTATTCAGCTAAAAAAAATTGGTCTAACAATCGGCGGAAAACCAGTCACAGTTAACATACAACTTTCATGACATGTTGGTTGGTAACTAATTCTAGTTTCCCAAAAAAAACATTCAGTTTCTGCCACAGCTGTGGGTACTCTCCGCCACCGTAAAATATTCAGAACGTTGACGGGGAATGCAACCACGATGCGCGTGCCACTCTCACCCAACAAAGCCTAGTTTTCTTTCCAGCGATGCTGTGACTTTGGGTTGTGCTTACACCAGGGGATTACATCAGTTCCCGAGTCCCGGATTCATGGCAGGGAATCCGTTTTGAAAGGTACCCACAACCTCAAGATTTGGCACGTGAGTAAAAGGCAAAAAGTTTCCACGGTCAATCAATTTCCTGAATACTAGATCTGTCGACTCAAATCTGAACCCACCTTTCGGGAGAAATTCTGAGGAGGCAGACATCAAAGGCCAGAAAAACACTGTCTTTTCAAAAGACTCTTTATCATCATATTCCAGCAAAAAGACTACATATACCAAAAACAAAAACTGTTAAGAAGGACACTCTGTCACAAATTCGAGTCGGAGCTGTTCATGGAGTAATTCAAAATTCATTTCCTCTGTTCCAGAATAAGTTCCCTTTCCTCATAATCTCTTCAGGGCCCTTTTCTTGTCACGCTTCTTTTTGTCCAACACTTTCTTGTCGCCGGCGTGTTTCTTGGCGACGGGCCCGCTGGTGTTTGCGCCCGACGTGGACGGACAGTTCTCGTCTACTTCTCGCGACTCCTTGGCCCCCCGCGCCGACTTCGCGTGGATGTCTGTCATCATTTTTGCCCGCATGAAGTAATCGTCGTACTGTTCTAATAATAGCCTGCCGGCTTCCTCGTTCAGCGCCGATTCCGGGTTGGGGTAGATCAGCAAGCACTTGATTGTCTGTTGGGAAAAAAAACAGAGGAACAAAGCAATGATTGAAAAACATTATTTGAAGAGGCAAGTATGGCAAAGTGACAAATTTGTCAACACGCATTTGGCAGCTTGATTTACAGTAACAACTTTGAGAAATATTTTGAATTTACTTGAAACAGAAGTTTTTTTCCAGTCTCTGTGATGGAAAGTATTTTGACGTTGTTTATTGCAAAATTGTTTTCAGTCACTGTGAAGGAAATGTCATTTTCTCGCCAAATAGACAGAATTTGTCTTCTTTCTGAATTCAAGCTAGATATATTGGACAGGCAAAAAAAAACTGGTCACTCGGCCAGACAGTGAACATCAAGACTCAATATCCACGACTCTCAACTCACAAGAAGTAGGTGTTTAATGCCCATGTCTGCTTTCCAGTCTCTCTTCAGCGTGTTGACACAGATCTCCCCGTTGCTGGCAACGTTGGGGTGGAACACTTTGGTCAGGAAGTAGCCCTTAGGGGGCGCTCTGGGAAAGTCCTTGCCGAGCACGAGCTTCACTCTGAATATCCCACCTGCGTAGGGCGTGCCCGCTGAAAAATAAATACAAAATAAATACATCAATCAATAAAAAAATAAAAACATTCTGGGACTAAAAAAATTATGAGTAAAGAAGATTTAAAGTAGACCTGTAATCATGACCAAATTCACCAAAACACATAGCATTTTCGTCACACGACAGTTCCAATCAGTTAACATCATGGTCTAGTGCAAGACGCACACGTCAAAGCAAGAAACATATTTTCTTGCAAAGTTTTATGGTTGAAACAGAATGTAATATTTCTTGGAATGGGAATGCAAACAATTTGGACACAGAAAATATGCGGTTCTCCAAGGGGAGGGGGCGGCAGGAGAGGGAAAGGGGGGCATATCAGTGCTGTTACGCCCGAATTAGACCACTGTTCTGTCCCAAGTCTGTCCCAACCTGAGTGATCCAGTTTGGCTGGACCAACTACAGCTGTCGTGGACTAGGCAAAGTTTGCACGGCAGAATTCATCAAAAACTTGTGGTAGTATTAAAATCCGGATTTGAAAAAATTGGGTCAGTATTCCACTATTTGGTTTGGATTTTGGAAACTGGATATTTAAAATCAACCTTTAAAACATCGAGGGTCCTTTTACTTTTTTGTGACACAAGCTACAGAAAACAACTGGAACATCCCCTAATTTTGCTCAATGGTCTCCGCTTGTAGCTGCATAGATTATAGCGCCATGCATAGATCAATCACTATTGGTCTACATGTACTTGGTTTGTGAACAGTCTGCCCATTCAACTGATCAGAGAGTTCCCACCCAATGACAGCTCTGGAATGTTTTTGTAAAGGCCCAGTGGTCATTGAATCCCACAAACTAAACCCAGGGCTAGTCATCATGGAGGGCATTGCATGTAGCGTGTATCACATTGCATGCAGCACCTCACTCGTCACTTTTTTGCTGGCATGACTGTGAGCTGAATGGCAACTTCTGGTGAAATTGGATTACCATAATTAGGTTTGAAAAAAATTACGATAACTGGATTTTGAAACCTCTGATTTCTCCCACCACTGTCAATAAAAAAAGTAACTACATGTACATTGTAAATAAAGTAAGTTTCTCTGGCACTTTGCAACACACGAGTAACTACATATGTCTACATTGCATACAAGTGAGTTTCTCTGGCACTTTGCTACACGGGCGACTGACTTGTACAACATGGTGCATATATTATGCTTCCCCTTTAATGTGCCACGTGTGATCACAGAATAGCAGCATCTCAGTTGGGCCGGCTCAACTAACTGGAAGACCTTAGTTGGGACCTTCCCAACTAAAGTTGGGCCCAATGGTCTAGTTGGGACGTAACAGCCCCAAAATGCTTAGTGCTGGAGTGAGATGCATGAAATGGCCTGTGTAGAATTAACCCTAACTCCCTAGGGGGTGTGCAAAATCATATTGAAATTGGAGGATTCAGGACTGTTAGGGACACTACGTCATCACTCACAAGGCCCTTCTATCGAAGCCTGGATGTCAGTGATGTCTTCCTCACTAGGGAGAAGCTTGACCCCCTCTGGTGGATTTGAACACAGATCAGCGACCTCTTTGGCGACTTGCCGCAGGACCTGAGGGGACAGGTTTTCTACGTTGGAGCTCTGAAAAATAAAACAATTTTGAAGAAATCAACAGTCGTCATTTATTCTTGAAAGCTGTTGTTTCAGCCTTCATGATGCAGTTTCCACCGTACTTTAGTCAGCAAGATGCCTCTACGCCTATAGATTCTGCAATCTGAATATAAAAGAATGGCAGTCGATATTTGACCGTCAACCGGTCCCCGATTGTTTTCAGTATTGTAACGGCACGGCACTGAACATGCGCAGTGACCTTGGGGGGGGGGGGGGGGGGGGGGGGCTTGGAATTGTTTACCGTTACGAATCTCCATCTGGTTCCACGCTAATATTGTTGTTGTGACTTCGTACTAAGAGATGGGAATCATATTAGTATTACAATTTCGGACTTAATTTCCCTTGAAAAAAAAATCCTCCAGAGCCACGAATCAGAAAAAGATGAACACTCTGTAATTGACCTATCGCCGTTTGCGAGTTAGCCACGCCCCTTACACAACCCTATGGAATTTTGTATGTTAAGTTTTGTTTGTCCCAGATTTTGCTTGTTCTGTGTCCATTTGTACGGTATGTCATGTAATTAGCTAATATTTCACAAGCTGCGTTGACGCGATTCTACCGCGATAGGTCAATTAAACGTAGGATTCGATTTAAAACAATAAAAGAAGACAGTTCTTATATTTTGGGACACAAAAAATAGAAAAAAATATAGTAATTAGAAGTATCAAAACATCGGTCACACTGGGTAGCTGGCTGGCTGGGACTCAAACTCGAGCAGTGTTTCTTGCGAGGCGGGTGCACTAGTAGTAGTAGTAGGCCTACATGCGTTTGCTTAACGAGAAATGGTAATTTATAATCATGATATTGATAATGGTAGCCTGGCGTACTCGTATTAAAACACATGCATGAGGATGCTATTTAAAATTAAGAATGGAAAAATACGAGACTGGTTCACACTCACAGCTAAATAAACACTTTATAAATGAAAATTTGAAATTATAAATAATTCACATGACACTTGACAGACAAGGTCAACAGACCGTGATCAGATGACGAACAATGTTGAAAAACAACAAAAGTAAATTAAATTGAAAAACCTGAAAAAAAATTAAAAACTGCAGACAAAAAATTGGGGATGTTCACCATGTGTTCACTTGTATTTTTGTTGTATTGTAATGTTGTTCTGCTTTTTTACTCAAATTTTAGTTGAAAATCACGAAAATGTAACATTCATTTTTTAATATACATTCATGTTCATGTATTTGTTGTAAAGGCTTTTCAGCAAGGCTCAAAATTCTTATCTGGGAAGTGGCACTGGCACTGGCATGCAGTGGCACAAAAATTTTGAACTTGCGAGTGAACTGTAGTCTGCTCCCCACTTTCAAGCGCAGTCTATTTACAGTGATGGCTGCATGTGGAAGTTCAGTCACAAGACTATGTTGGTGTTTTAACGGAATTTCCAAAATAAAATAACTCGATTTTTCACAATTCAACGATAATCTACACACATCAAACATGGTTTGTGAAAACTAAAGACCTTTACTTACTCCTGGTAGTGCCATTTTGAAGATCAGCTCAAGAATATTTGATGTAAAATGGATTTTTCTTTCAGTTCCGACGAAAGCTCCGCCGCACAGTCTGTGATTTAAACGGCAGAGATCCCAAACATACGTCACGGTCATTGGTTCGTGAGGTCATAGGTTGGAATATAAACTAACCAATCAAATTGCACAGATTACAATATGTAAAGTATGTGAGACAAACATAGACTCGTTCCCAGTGCAGTGTCCATTTGTTTTTCTTACAAACAAAATTCAATTTGCAAGTCAGGAAAATCAGAATTTAGTTTTGCAAACATTTAAATTAAAGAAAAAACAAAGTAACTTAGTTGAGTAATGCAATATCTTGAATTTTCATTCTTGATCTAAAATTATTTGTAAAAACAACGAATTCTTTAAATAATCCCTCCTTTTTAACCATGGACCATGCCATGGAGGAATTACTAGGCTATTTGCATATTGCTTTAATTAGTTGCAATCGTTTCCATCAATCTGAAATTATGTCCTTTTTTTAATTCTTGAAATATTTAACAAATACAGTGTTGAAAAGCCGACAGTTTGTCTAAATTTAATCATTGCTGACCAATCAAAATGTAAACAATTATTCACACGAGATGATGTCATCGACTTGATTAACATCCGGGAATTTGTCATGGCGGCCATGCAGGAAGTGGTGTGTGTCTCGTCTGCACTGTCCGACTTTTGCTGAAATTCATGAACGAAAACCGAGGTATGTATTTCAAATTGAATCAGTGCATTGAATTTCAGAAGTAGCTTACTTCGAAATGGCGGCTTATTGACGGAATTCTGGTGAAAGTTGTCTGATAAACTCCGTTGTCTCGTTGTTTCGTTGACGTTGTTTTGCATGCGGTGCCTGGCTATGTGGTGTTTATCATTCGTGTTGGAAATTAATGTTCCATTTAGTTTGCAAATGAAATACGAAACTCAGAACGCTCAGGCCTAAATCCCAAGCAATTCAGTTCTCTTTTACTAATCTTGGAGAAACACTTTTAAAGTTTGAAAAGTATTAAAGATTTTGATTATAAATTTGACCTTAAAATTGGTGAGTGAAAAAGTTAATTTGTTGTGTTGTTGATGGGATTGGAAATTTAATTCAAACATGTCAAACTCAAAAGTAGGCTAACTCAAAAGAAAAAGGGGGTTACTTTTGAAAAATTTGGATTGGGTGAGTGTACGTGTAATGTTATGGGCCCCATTTATTTTAGTCCTCAAAGTGTTTTCATTATTCAAAAAAGAATTCTGCAACCTTAGGCACTCTTCTTTTTGGCCTAATTCTAAGGCCAAATAAAAAAAAACATGTTGAGCGTCCTGCCTTTTGGGGAAAAAGCAAGGCCAAGGAGGAGGCCCTTTTTGGGGAAAAAATGTTGCAACCTGATGCTACTTTTTTCTTCATAAATTATATCATCTCAATGAAGGTCAGTCATTGCAACAATGATGATAAGACATGAATCTGGGACTGAGAAACACTTCCAATTTTGTTAGGTACTAGGTAGTACTTTACCCCCATAGTCAGACTTTGTACACAACTGCTGAAGTGGCGTCAGGTTGCAACATTTTTTCCCTTTTTTTTTTTCTTCCCTAAAATGACCGGCTGGGCTATTTTTCAAGATGGCCGCCAGCTTTTTTTGTAACCCTACTATGCCCAGTGCAGTTGGCAAAGAGAATTATCAGACCTTTCAAAACATTTTAAATTTGCCTCACTAACAGGGTTTTGAAAGGTGAAATAGTGCTGGAACTTTGAAACTTTTCGAAAGGTTTCGGAAGGTGAAGCAACTCTGTGGGCAAATTCAGTAAGTTGCATTTCAATACCTTCGAAAGGAATTGAAAGGTGTGGTAGTGCAGCAACAATGAATTCTGGAGGATTTTAAAAGGTCCAGCATTTTTTCCCTCCAATTTGCCAGCACCCAGATTTGAGGTGTTTTGAATGGTCTAACTACAGGAGAGCTAATGGCCGCCACTTGGACTCAGGAAATGACGTACCAGCTTTATAATATATGAGCTAGATGCAACAGAGAAAGAGGCCAAAAAGATGTCACTGTTTAAAATTTATCATTTTTTCGGGTGTTTTTTCTAAAAAAAGAAAAGAAAAGAAAAGAAAGGAGGCGGCCTCCAAAAGGAAGCGAGCAGGACGCTAAACATGTTTGTTTTTTTATTTGGCCTAATGACCCAATTTTTGTAATTTTGAACAATATCTTTTGGTAGAAAGTGCAATTTTCTGACGCATTTTCCAGTTGACGCCCTGCGAATCAACGCAGTTTTGTTGACTCAATGTGCACATGCTGTACATTGCAGTGATTGCCATCTTTATTTCCGTGTTGTGTTTAGTCATCTTTATTGTTGTTTTACCCCAAAATTTCCCTCAAAAATGAAAACACTGCTAACTATCAACAACATTCTTATTGGTTTTTAACATTGCAAACTAGTTACATACACGTGTAGGTAAGTCAAGTAACCTAAAACTGGTTTCGTTCTCTTAAAGGTATAGGGCCTGTAACTACACAGTTGCCGTAATTAACAGTCATGACAGTTGAGTACTTTGGAACCGAAAGAAAATCCTTCTTTTTTTGCTGTTTTATTTGAATGAATGTTTCATAATCAATATTTTATCTAGCAATCTACAAGAGCTTGTGATAATAAGATTTAAGGACAGTGTACACAATGACTGTAGTTCACATGGTTCAGGACACCTCTATTTTTTGTTCTTCTCTTTTCATTGTAACTTGTTCTAAAATGACTTTTTCAACTAGAATGTAGTGTAGAAGTTTTTAAGCCTTCTCAAAACTCAACAGTATTTTTGAAAAAAATGTACCTTATTTTTCCACACACGTCAACCCAGATAAGTGCATTCAAGGGCAAAGAATACTGCTCTGAAGCCACTCATGTATGTAATGTAGTGAACCTCTACCCCCTCAACCCTCAGCCCCCTGTATTTAAGTAGACATTATTTAAAACACTGATTTTTATGTTGGATTAACACTGAACCAATTTGATATATTTTGAAAATAAGTTATTTGTTTATAGCCTTGGCCTGGTTGCTTAATTGTCAATAATTGATAGTGCCAAAGGAAAGGGCCATGACACGTACAGCAGGCAACTTGGTCCCAAACCCATTTTTAACTCTCCTGTAGTTATACTTAGACCATTCAAAACACCTCAAAATCTGGGTGCTGGCAAATTGGAGGGAAAAAAATGCGGGCCCTCTAAAAATCCTACCGGAATTTATTGTTACTGCAATACCACACCTTTCAATTCCTTTCGAAAGGTATTGAAATGCAACTTACTGAATTTGCCCACAGAGTTGCTTCACCTTCCGAAACCTTTCGAAAAGTTTTAATGTTCCAACACTATTTCACCTTTCAAAACCCTTTTAGTCAGGCAAATTAAAAATGTTTTGAAAGGTCTGATAATTCTCTTTGCCACTGCACTGGGCATAGCAGCATCTAATGTTTTCAAAGGATTCAGGAAGGATTTGGACTTCTGCTTTATACTTGACAATAAAATGTACCGGTACCTACTTGTAACATATATTCTGTAGGCATCCCGCAAAGTCCAGCAAAAGTAAAAATTGAAGCCAGACATTCATGACAGCCAGCTTATCACACTAATTTCCGCAGTGCAACAAAAAGTGTTGTGCACTGAACACATCACAATATGTTTTTTCTTCTTGCTCACTGATGTGTGTGACCCATTAAAAATTTATTGCCATTTTAAAGAAATAACTTGTCCCAAATTTTCTTCATTTATTTGAAATAATGAATAGTTTGAAAACTCAAATAAATGTTTGAATTTGTTTTTCTTCTTCAACAAAACAAATATTTTATTGATATGCACAATTTTTATTTCTTTTTGTCAATTCCTCAGACCTTTCAAGCCCCCAAAGTAATTAATTTTTTTTAAAGCATGATAAACAATATATGCTTTTAGGTGCTCATTAGAAAATATTTGAAAACCTTTGCTAAAAGCAATTGGGTGGTGATGCACCTTTAAAAATCCCCCGGTAGTCTGTTTATTTTCATGCAAAACACATACATTGATCTGTGTAATATTCATCTACATGTACATGTACCTTGTAGCAGCTCACTCCTACTAGTCTTATGCATATTGACCTGAACAAACTCATAAAGATGATCAGTATAAACTAAGACCAGTCTAGACATTCCTCTCATAAATGCTGTGCACTGCACAATATCACCGTTGGGTTATGTATACCCGTACTGTTGGGATTCATCTTGATTTTGAAACTGTTATTAACATTGCCTGCAGCCCTAATTATTTCCTGTTTCAAATCAGTCAGTTTTTTTTTCCATTTGAAATATGCCTTTCACTTTCAATCAAGTTTGTCACATACACGTACGTGTACATGTAGGAAATAGAAAATGGCTGAATAAATGACATTTAAAAAAACAAATGCTGCCATTGAATTAATATCAACAACTTTCATCAGAAGCTGTAATTTAAATTTTGTAAATTTCTGATGTTCGTTCATACAAATAGCTTTCTTTTGGTTTATGTTAAATACGACTATACACGTTGTGGTAGTGAAACATGTTTTTCTTTGTCTGCAGCATTTTAAACATTTTTATGCAACTGTAGAGTAAAAAATAAGTAAATGTTGGTGCAGATATGTACCGGTACACTACACAGTGTTACTAATACCGTGTTGTTGCCTTGGTTGGATATTGGCCCGTAGTTAATCCATATATACGTTTGCCTGCACATGATTTTGTGACTCATAGTGTTTGCCTATAGCCAACATGAATGTGACTCAGACTGATGTATGTGGGTCATTCTATAAATTAGGGGTCCAATAGGAAATATTGTCTACATGTAAATAGGATATGTATTAAAGTTAATGATACTTTATGTGTAACAAACTCCAATAATAATAATATTGATCCCATTTAGTTCCTGTTCTGGTTAAAAATAAGCCGAAAATACTCATAAGAATACATGTACTTTTGGCTAAAAAGTGGAACCAAGAATTACAGTCTCAAACTATTCAAATGTTTGCCTCCTTAAAAGCTTAACTATGCCATTTTTTAAGTCAAAATGATAGAAGTACATGTACTAACTCAATTTCAACATGAGATACAAGTTTGAAAGAAATAAATGTGTGAAGATGTGATATGGTGCTCCCCAATAAATTATGGTTTCACACGTAACATTTGGTGTCCCCATGTCCCTGTTACGTGTGAACAAATTCTGCTGTGTGCAAAGTGTCTTTCATGGTCACATTGTATACTTTTCCTTGGTATTTTTTTTTTACAAATTCAGTCCATTAATCAACCCTAACCCTGCTAAATGCAACAGATAGCAACAAAGGTAAAGTGTTGTTGCATACTGAACATTGCATTTAGCAGGCAACTCAAGTCCCCGTGCTCTGTTGCGTCTTGTTGCATTTAGCAGAGTAACTGCTCATAGTGCCAAGGCGACACAAGAGTACATGGGATCCACTGGTGAAGTGGTCGGTGAAGGGCAAAACCCAATATTGAATTTACATCACCCCGACCCAAATTCCATCTTGAATAGTTTCATTGCGGTACCCGCTGCTACATCAGATTCGAACCAGTCAGCCGATCCCGGCAAGCTCAGTGGTCGAGTGGTAAGACGTCTGCACTACATGTAGTTAGTCAACAGGAGGTCATGGGTTTGAGTCCCACCCGAGTGATTTGTTTTTTCACAATCACTCGGGACAACACTGAGTATACC